CATTTTAGCAATTTGCAAGACCACTTTAGGTGGCTACCTAAGCTTCGCACCAGTTTGGCTGCCTAACATTTTCACTCCCTATCCCACTTAAATTGAGTACACAAAATTTACTTTATAATGATATATTTGCATATTAAATAAATAGAATGCAAGAGTTGATGAGACAAATGAATGAGAAACATCAGGAGAGGTAATCTCAATAGGAGGCTGAACTAAAGGATACAAAGAATTTAGTGACTGATATGAAGAAATTGCTAGACAAGGTCATGAAGAAGGAGAAGAAGAAGAATGCAGAGCCTTCAGTACTTGCAGATAACTCCTTCTCTTCCTCTTCCCCTACTGATGACTAGGCGTCACTTTTTTATACATTATTTTTTATTATTATTATTATTTTTGATACATTGATGTATTGTTACGAAATTTTTATTTCATTTTATTGATACACATTGGTATTTTTGTTATTCAGACCGGGATATTAAATATGATGTTTATCTTACTTCTTGTTTTTTATTCTCTTGTTCTTATTATTATACTATTTATAAGAAGGAAAATAAACGAAGTTTTTTTTTTTGATTCGTTAATTTGCGACGAAATTTATTGATAATTTCGTTGCAAATTTGACAGTCAATTTGTAACGGACCTATTTATATTTCCGTCACAAATAATCAAATATATTGTGACGAAATTTGTAAAAAAAAAGAAACTGTTGCAATATTTTGCGATCGATTGATCATCATCATTCCATCGCAAATTTGCGACAAAACATTCATGACGAATTCACAATTTGAGACCAAATACAATGCAAACTCTATGTTTGCATGCCTTCGTTTTGCATCGGAAGTGGACGAGTTTGCTTTGAAAAATAACCATCGCAATTTGAGACGTAAATTGGCTTGCACCAATGCCGTCGTAAATTTCGTTTGAGATGAGGACGTCATCGACAACTGCCTACCCATTGCAAATTTCGTTGCAAAATGTATTTGCAATGAATCTAGGTAGTTTGCAACTGAATCTGTCTATCGTAAATACCCTATTGTTTAGTAGTGATACTAATTATCTCTAAAACATAAATATTGTTGGAGCGTGATATAATTTTATGAATTCCAATGAAGTCTCTCGTTAGAATAATATATTATTATTTTTTGATACATCGAAGTATCATTAGAAATATTTTTTTGTTTTGATACATTGAAGTAAAAAGACAGAAAGCTAAGAAAAAGAAAACGGAGAAAAATTAAAGCTCCTAGCGAGTTTGCGCACGTCTAGCAATAATTACACCGCTACTATCATCATGAAGATGACACCATAGTCTTGGAGGGATCAGAGAAGTGAGCCTCATCAGGTAACTCCATAGTTTGCCGACCAATATGCACACTTGTTACCCTCCTAATGAACATGCGTAAACCAAATATTCCATTGACGACTAACAAATGTTCGTATTCGAGTCACTAGGTGTGATTCACGAGCTTCATTACCTTCCTTAGAAAATAATGCAATAATTGTTTGACAATCAACTTCAACCAAAATATTTCTCCATCTTCTTCCCAAGCTAACTCCAGCTCTTTTAACACACCCAACAATTTCGCTTGTAAAGCTGCACAATGTTCAATTCTTATAGCAAACCCCCTAGCCAAACTCCTCTACGGTCACGAAGAAGTCCTCTATAAGCTGCTGCAGTAGATTGACCCTTTGAGGCACCATCTGTATTTAACTTAACATACGGATTCAAAGGAGGCTGTCAGCTTACATCTCTGGAGAAATAGAGTCGCAGCCTTGGCTTTGTGTCTGTAAAGGCAAGTTGTTTCTCCTTCAAGTAGTTAAGGATTGGCCGAGCAAGGTAGTGATCCCTATTGGGAGAGCTATCCTGGGTCACTTTGTTTCTCCAACGCCAAATATACCAACAACAAACAATATATCATGAGCTCCAAACAAACCCTCCCACATTCATGACATTGCAACTCCAATTATCAATCACCAAATCATGCCAATTGGCATAAAAAACTGAGCTAGTCTATCATATGGCAAGATATCATACCAGATATCATAAATAACGAGCAATCTCGAAAAATATGCAACAAAGAATCCCTCTCATTCTGACAGATCGGGCAAAGAGGGTTTGCCATTAACTAAAAGCTAATCCAATTTTTTGTAGGAAAATTTTTGAGAAGTAATCTTCAGAAAAACATTTGAATCCGTTGAGGCCATTTCTATTTCCATAGCTTGTTTCAAACATCCTTAGAGAAATTGTTATGCTGAAAGGATTATTTTGCTAGATAAAGATAGCAATGATTGACTTGTACTATTGTTGTACCACCCAGTAACCAGAAGCTTCTATTCATGCCATCAAGCATATAGGGAGGAAGTATACTTATGATCTTTTCAACTAGCTCCGAATCAAAATGTTGTAGCAGCATGTTGTAGTTCCACTTACCATTCTGACCAATCACTTGATTGAGGCGACAGTCTCTCAAATCTTCGGGTGCTTTGAACATGATCCAAGAGGCAGATAGAAGAGTCAACCCACTTGTCCTTCTAAAAGGATATTGTCTCCCCGTCTCCAATTTCCCAAACTATGCTATCTTGCATATTGAGCATGATATTGCACATTGCCTTCCATAAAGGAGAGCATCCAGCTTTAGGAATTGAAACTTGATCAACCTGCACCTTGTATTTGCCACGCAGCACACAGGACCAAATAGAATTAATTTCATTTTGAAAACGCCAAGCACATTTAATTAGAAAAGCATCATTCATCAAAGTTGCTTTCCTCAGGCCAAGACCATCCATCTCTTTCGGGCTAGTCAGGATATCCTAGTTCATCGTGTGGTATGACCTATTATGATGAGTATCCCGCCAGATAAAGTTTTGTTAGATAATGTCCAGCTCATAGCATACTCCTTGTGGCAATCACGCGTATTGGATATGGAAATAGCGGATGGAAGACATAACGGACTTCATTAGAGTTACTCTCCCCGCCTGAGATAGACATATTTGTTGTTAGCCACCCAGTCTACTACGGACCTTTTCCACAATATATTGACAATAATGTTTCGTGGCCCTGCCATACACCATCCAAGCACCTAAATATCGCCCTATATTATGAACCCTTTTAAATCCACTTTTAACTTTCAACAAAGATTCCAACTCCTCAGGGGTATTAGGTGAAAAATAAATACTCATCTTCGCAATGCTCAACCTCAAGCCCAAAGTCTCCTCAAACAACAAGAGGCATTTTAGAACAATATCCATCTGATCCTCCCTCGCCTCAGTAAATAACAATAGATCATCAACAAACATTAAATGAGATATTGGGGGGGGAGGTGTCATCTTTCCCTACCTTGATAGACTTCCAAAGACCTTCTAAAATAGTTGTGCATATGATATGAGATAGCTTGTCCATGACCAAAGTGAACAAATACGGGGATAAAGGATCTCCTTGCCTTAGAAAACGGGCAGGTTTAAATGGATTCATCTTTCCTCTGTTCCAAAGAATTTTATAGACGAAAAAGATACAGCCTCCATTATTAAACCAATTAGCAGAATCGACAGGCCTACCTCAAATAAGACATTTTTCAGAAAATTCCAATTCAATCTGTCGTAAGCCTTTTTCAAATCAACTTTGATAGCCATAAATTTTCTCCCTTTCATTCTATGCATACTATGTACTAACTCTTTCGCAATAACTATGTTATCATGAATCTGCCAATTAGGAACAAAACTAGCCTGATATGGAAAAATTACATTTTTCATAATGGATTCCTGTCGTTTGACAATGATTTTAGATATTTGCTTGTACATGATAGAACATAGAGATATTGGTTGGAATTGAGATATTATTTTTATTTTTATTTTTTTTGGTAAACTGAGATATTATTATTTAACTATATATATGTGTGCGGAGTGTGATATAATTTTATGATTTCAATATAGTTTCTTGTTAGAATAATATTATTATTTAACTATGTTTGTGTGAGTACATTATTAAAAGTTAAAATTTTCAAATTATAAAAATAAAAATTAATCTTGTAATTATTTTTCTAGTATATAATTAGGATAACTATCGATTAAACATTCATCATTCTTTTTATATGTTATCAATTTCTCATCCATATTTTTATATAATAATAAAGAGTAGGGCTATATTGATAAAAAAAAAATTACAAACTACAATATGTCTGACCAGTAATACTCTACTCAAGAATGTATTACCGATCAGACATATTGTAGTTTGTAAACAAAAAGTTTATAAATAACTTACCAAAAAAAAAAGTTTATAAATATAACTTTCTCCAATAATATATATACTCACAATATATGTTAAACCGATTTTAAATAATTCCAAAATACTATGACGACATTAAGCAGCGAAACAAAACCAGAATGAAAATTTTCTGTTTAGAAGAGGGGGATTTTATTTATTATTAATTAATTTTTTGCTTATTTTTTTTTCAATAAAGAATATATTTTATCAGATGCAGAGTATTAGTAGTTCTAAGTTTTAACCAAACTTTTTTTTTAATGAATATATATTATCCGAGTAACATGATTGATTTTTGGATAGGTTCAAGATATTATATATAAAAAAATTGATTAGTCGTTGGGCATAGATCTACCTACACGTGTCCAAAACTTTAGGCGCACACATCTTTAACAGCATGGACCTCGAACACACGCCATTAAGGTCTCCATCTCCCCTCTCCTACGCATCATTTTCTTTTTTCTCTTTTTGTTTCATTCCAAACTTAAAACTTCAAATAATTGATAAAAATTAAAAAATATTAAGCGATATAATATTCCATCAATCGTAGCTAAAAGCAATCATTTTGGACACGCGTCACCAAGTAAATGCCAAGTTGAAGAGCCTTTGGTGCAAGCCAGGTGAGGATAGGAAAGCTATGATGTCCAAATGTTTGATGCCACGTGGCATGGAGTCCCAGTCAGCAGCTACTTCCCTTTATAAAACTCAAACTCACCCAGCAACCTAATCCAGAACGCTCCCTTGGACAGAAAAACCGAAGAAACAAAAATCACAAAAACCTCTTTTTCTTTTTATTTTTCTCCACCGCCGGAGAAATGAAACCTCCGGCGACCCTAACTTCCCCGTTGATGAAGAATGCTCGTATCTCCGATCACCGCCGACACTTTTTCCACGAAAACCTTCAATTAGAAATCTTCACTCCCTTAGCCTAGAAGAAATTCGTACACATGAACTTTACATATTATTAATTTTGTTTTTTCGTTTTTTCATATTTCTTCGCTTTTCGGTGGAGAACATGCCAAATCTGTGAGTTATTATCTGGTGTAGCGTAGGGAAACGATGAATGTGTGTTGTCAGTGTTTGACTGCGTTGTGATATTGACTTGTGACTGTGTTGAGTGAGTGAAATTCGAAGCTCTGAAAATGGAGCAGAACTGAGAGAGAGAGAGAGAGAGAGAGAGAGAGAGAGAGAGAGAGAAATTTGAATTAGTTGTTGCCAAAGGTATGGCTCCGATGAAGATCCAACCTATTGATATTGATTCAGAGAGAGTGAAGGAAGCGGCGGCGGCGGTGGTGGTTCGAAACGAGTCGGTGTTGAAGTCGCGGTTAAGAAGGTTGTTCGTGTTCGAACGGCAGTTTCCGAGAAACAACAAAGACGGAGGAGGAGGAGGAGGAGGAGGAGGAGGAGGAACGGAGTTCGAGCCAAGCTCTGTTTGCTTGGCGAAAATGGTGCAGAATTTCATGGAGGAGCAGCCACCGGCACCGCCGCAAAAATGCGGTCGCAACCGCTGCAATTGCTTCAACGCCAACAGCTCCGACGAGGACGATTTCGACCTCTTCGGAAATGGAGCTGAATCAATCACCGATTCCACCGACTTGCTCAAGGTAAATGCCGCAAACACAAACAAATGCTAACTTCATCATAAAAATTAATTGATTAACTAATTAATTTATAATTTGTGTTTTTTTTTTTTTTTTTTTTTTTTTTGCAGAGCTTGATTCCTTGCGCGAGTGTTGGAGAGAGGAACCTCTTAGCTGAAGCATCGAAGATTGTTGAGAAGAACGGTAAAGTGTATAAGCGAAAAGAAGATCTGAGAAAGATTGTCGCTGATGGTCTTTCATCTCTCGGCTACGATTCTACTCTCTACAAATCCAAATGGGAGAAAACCTCTTCTTACCCCGCTGGTACACACCAATTTTCACTTTTCGCTCGAGATTTTTAGTTTCGATTTTCGACTGGAACATGGAAAATTGAAAATGGAAATTGACTGAATCGAAAATCTTCGTGTTTGGATTTGGATTGTTTAGGTGAATATGAATTCATCGATGCGATTGTGGAAGGGGAGAGAGTGATAATAGACATCGATTTTCGATCCGAGTTTGATATCGCACGATCCACGGGGACCTACAAGGCGATCCTTCAATCGCTGCCGTTCATCTTCGTCGGGAAATCAGAGCGGTTAGTGCAAATCGTGTCGATCGTGTCGGAGGCGGCGAAGCAGAGCTTGAAGAAGAAAGGGATGCCGGTTCCGCCGTGGAGGAAGGTCGATTACATGCTCGCAAAGTGGCTCTCACCTTCTGCCGCTGCCGCTAGGGAAAAGCCTAAGCAACCCCCGTCCTACTCCGTCAAAGTCTCCGTCCAGCCGGAAACCCTGTCCTCGACGGGGGACGGCGATGCGACTACGGATAGCGATTGTGGTGAGTTGGAGCTGATTTTCGGCGAGAAAATGTCGCTGCCGGAGCCAGAGGTTGATTCCGCCGGAAAGAAGGCGGAGTCGGCGGTGGTGACACCAGCGTGGCAGCCGCCGGCGGTGAAACCGAAGAGTGTTGAGAGAGGGGCCAAGGTCGTGACCGGATTAGCCTCTCTCCTCAAGGATAAACCATAGAACAAAATTTTGTTTTTTATTTTCCTTTTTTAAAAATGTGAATTAAAAATTAAAAATATAAAGAGAAAATTTCGGATATAGTTCTCTCTTTTTTTCTTTCAAGTATTTTTGTTTTCCCTCCTTTGTTTTTTTGTTCGTAAGGGGAACTCTGTAAGAAGCTTTTTTTTTTGTTTTTCTTTTTTTGGGGGACAATGTAAGAAGCAACTATATATTCCCTGTATTAAAATAAAATAAAATATTCAGAATATTGTAATAATAATATGTCGAAACTCTAAAGTTGATAAAAACTGGAAAAAAAAAAAACACCTGAGGTTACATTACATGCATCATGCATGGCTGAGAGATTCTTTTGCTTCGATTTCCCAACTGTCAGTACTCTGATTCTGCCATGATCAGGATTTTCTTTTTTATGATTTTGAATGGTAATTTACCTTTTTTCTTAATTTACTATTATTATTTTCGTGAGGGTTGGTTTGATTGATAATTGAGAAAGTGCATTGATAAGTTACACCTCGCAACTTACATTTTTTTTAGGAGTTGAGGAGTTACAACTTACAACGACATGGTCCCTTGAAAGGAGACAAAGTAGGATGGAACTTTTCTTTCATAATTTTTCTCATCTTTTCATGTACATCACATTAATCACTTGAAACTAATAATTCTCTTTTTATTTTTCTATTTCCATTTTAATATCATACTGTGGAGTACTCAAATATAAAGAAGGATAGCACCTTTTAAGTATGCAAATTTAATAAATTTTATTTTTTATGGAAAAAACTTAATATGATTATACAAAATAAATTTGGATAAAAAAGATTATGTAATACGGTATGGTGAGGACTGAGGAGTGATCAAAACGCAGAATATGAAGCTGAAGAGGAAGGAAGAGAATTGAGGAAGAAACCGCTTGATAAAGAAAGAAGAGAAAAAGGAAAAGCTATTATTGGCATAAAAAATAGATTTCTTTTGTTCTTATTTTATCTTAAAAACTTTTGGAATGCTGCAAAAGTAAAAGATAAAAAGTGAAAAAGTGAAAATCTCTTTTTTTTTTTTGTAAACAAAAGTGAAAATCTCTAATCCTACTTTCACTCACCAAACCCTAAGCCCCAGAAAATGAACCTGACAGAATATGCCTAATTTTATTAGTTTATGGTACTGTATTGTTGATTTTTCGAATATATAATAATGGAACAATTTTTAACCTCGATAGTAAAAATAAACACGTGGCAGTATATCATGGAATTCACAGACTCCAGTAAAAAAATAAATCAGATCAGGAGAACAGTTAATTTGACTGATTAGAAAATTGACTGGGTTGGTCAGGGTTTTCACGTGGTTACTTGGGCTTGGTAAAATGGCACAAAATCACAAATGGTTATAACCAGTGTTTGACCCGGTTTGAACGCACCAAATCGGATTCATGTTAAATTATGTAAAACATATACAATTTGAGAATAAGAAAGGCTTACTACTAGGCTTAATTGTAAAACATTGATTATAATAATGAGATTAATATTTCAGAAAATAATTTTATCTATTATACAAACATAAAAATGTCTAAGACTTTTTTTTTCTCTTTTTTCCATATGGGTTCCACGTACTTTAATATATATAGAAAATAAAATTATCTCTTACAACATAAGAAACATTAATTTTTATAACAATATTTTATATTTTTTCAACCTTTTTTTTGGCTCCAGCTCTATGCCCAATCTGGTGCTGTATAATTTTTTCATGCCAAATATTCTTATATGTGTGCTTAGAGGAGTTGTCCATAGCTTAGACTAGACAATGACTTATTAATATTTTTCTGAGTGATGTGCTCTATATCACTTTTGAAAAATATATCATTTTATGGAAATTTTCTATATATAATAAAGTTATACAAAGAGAAAAATGAATACAAAAATTAGATAATATCTCATAAATGTTAATAAGATTTCAATTTTTATTTTATAACTTCTACATCTATTTTTTTTTCTTTAAGAGAGTTTATTACATAAAAGTTTCTTGGATTATAAATAATTTGCTTCTTAATAGGAATATGGAAACCTAAATAGTTCACAATCATTGTAGTGGGGCCCTTTAATCTATTTTGATGTTATGCAACATTGCAACGTATAGGACAATATTCTTGGAAGTAAACATTTTAAAAAATTACTAATTTTGCAACTCATTTATAAAAGGAGTAGGGTCCATCACCAGAACAAAAAATATAGGTCTCTCTCCTCTTAAATAAATTTAAACATACTTAAGAAAAAGAAGTTATTTGTATTAAACTTTGTAATAATAAATAATGAAAAATAATAATAGCCTCATGAAAGCAACCCCACGCCTAACCTTTAATTATAGTAAAGTTCTGTTTTTTAAGTTTAATGTTGTTTATTGCCCTATTGATAGGGAGATATTGCTTAGGCTGTGCATATTTGGTTTTCACGGATCTTGTCCAATCCACACGAAAACTAACATGTGCTTCATGAGCTCATCCCCATGGTAAACACTAGTGGGGCTATTCATATTGGCCCTTCGATATTGTTCTTTGTTCTTTTGATGAACATGATCTAGATTGTGATATATTTACGTGTGTAATAATTTTCTCATGTAATAAGAGATAAGTTTTTTTATGTTGAGAGATAAATAAAATAGAATTTATCAATTTTTTAAATAAGAAAAAAAAAAAGAGACATATTTTTTATTATGTGTGTAACATAAGAAAATAATATCATATAACATGAGAATGTAAATTTTCTTCTTATATTGTTGAATGTAAATTTATTTATTATATATATAAAAATATGTGATATTTATATTTTTTCTTTCTCTTATTTTTTTATGTGTAATATTTCTATTATGTTGCATAAGAGAAGTATTATCTCATACTCAAACAATAGTTACGAAAAAGGAAAAAGTTGAAGGAGAGAGAAAAAAGTTGAAGGTGAGAAAAAAAAAATCTTATAAGACCCATTTGAAAAATATGAGTGTAGGAGATAATAATTTTTTTATGTAACATAAGAAAAGTAATTTCCTTTTTTTATATAAACTTATATGAGCCATATAAATTTTTGGAATTTACTAATCTCCTTTAATAAAAGATAGCTTGTATCATGCGTAGAAATAAATTATGTGGGTCTCATTATTTTTTAAAATAAAAAAAGAATGGCACAATTTTGTATGCCTCAGTAGCATAAGATAAGTATCTTCTATAAAAAGAGACAATTTAAACCCTAAATTTTTATATTTATAAAAAGTAAATTTATTTTTTATAAAACGAGGTTTAAATCGCTTATTTATTAATAAAATATGAAAAAAAAAAAAAAAACAATCATGATGAAGTGTGCACCTTTATGTGGAGTGTGGCACAAATGTTGAGGAATGTACCAAATCGAGAGAGAGAAAGAGTGGGAGTTTCAGGAAAAGGAAAACAAAGTGTACAGCCTTTATCCAATGGTGATTTGACATGTCTGTTTTGTTTGGAGGAGTCAGTCAGAACTTTAACTGAGGAGTGAGAGTATTTTCATTGTGTATTGCTATTTGATATGATAATGATCCACTCTGACATGGACCCTATGTAATTATGTTTTAGCTGACATGTCTTCCTCTTCTCGTAGGTTTTTTAACCCTTCCAGTTGAAAAAACTTGAAACATACCACAGTTTTAATTCTTTTAACATATTATTTACGTGAAATGTATTTATTATATAACAATAATAAAATTTGTTTTTATGCACAAATAAAAAGATGTGGGATTCATAATTTTTTCTTTTATCTTTTCTCAACTCATTTTTTTTCTTTTTTTTTATGTCTCTGCACAATCGAACAGTATTTTTCATGTAACATTATACATGTATAACTCATTATTTATTCATGTAATGTAAGTAAAATATGCAAGAGAAATATGCATAATTTGTATAAAATCCAAAAAATATTTATCATGTATTATCCCCTACAAGACACATATTAGAGTTGTGCGTGACTTGAACACATATAATTAGTATGTACATCTTCTATTGCGTGGATTGTTTCACAAGTTATGGGTAAGGATAATACACAACTTAAATGTATACGTTCTTATACACGTTTTACTTCTATTAAATGATTAAATAATTTGCCAAGATAATTAAAGTGATCATATGTTTCATTTTTTGCAACGAGGTGATCAAAAAGCCCTTCCAGCCACACATTTTTTTTTTTACTTTCTTTTATTTTTGAAGAATTTAGGGATGTGAAAAAGATTCAAATAAATAGAAGGATATTATAAATCTGAATTGCATTAAAATAATTATTTTTTTAAAATTGGTTTAATTTTTTACCCAAATCACTTTATCTATTTCCTTCGAGTTAAAAATTAAATTAAACCAATTAAAAGTGTAAAAAAAAAACCAAATAAATCAAACCAAAGTGAAAACCAAACAAACTTGCATTGTATTTTTTGAAACTAATTAAAAATTCAAATTATTTTCTCCAAATGAGCTCATGAATCGAATCAATTTTTAAAGTTAAAATAGGTTGCCTAAATCAAAACATTTTCTAGTTCGATTTAATGTGGTATAGAAAATCGAACAAATTATGTACACCCCTACAGAAAACTACCATTAATTAATTAAAGTTATCAACTCCATTGTTAAATGTTAACATAAAATGGAGAATTAATTTTAGCTTTTTAGCTTCCCTTTAATATTAGTTTAATGAAATACGCGTTACTGTGGCAAATGTCAATGAATTTTGGTCATATAATTAATGACTCTTTCAAGGTCAAATCCGCAATGTCTATGTTGACGGGGTTATCTTTAAGTTGCTTGCAATTTGTGGTTTATCCAAAGTATAAAGCAAAATAAAGGAAGAAAGCGGTATTTTAAATTCTTAAAGAAGAATGACCATTTTCATTATGTATAACACAAGCACAGAATGTGTCCTTCATATAGTTCATAATCTAGAGCCTAATTTTGGAGCTACCTTTTATTATCGCAAATCTTAGATATATAATATTGGATCATCGAGGAATCCAAACAAAATTGAAGTATACGTGATTCCATCGCAACTAGGGGTGGTAAACAATTCAGGGGCCTTTCAGGGGTTTTTGATTTAACTTGTGAAGGTCTGAGCTTATATGTCTAAAATTGGTTGTTGGAACCAAACTTAGATTTGTATAAAAGGTCGTTTAATAAAAAGGCCTCAGGATCCAATTCAAAAGTTCGGCTTTAAAACGTCTCAG